CACCCTACCAGCTGCTGCTGCTGCTATCGAGTCTCCCACACGGATCTAACGTGTCTGGGCCTGTTCCGGTGTGGGGGAGGGGCACCTGTCTCTCCAAGTCTGATGAGATCATAGCCTCTGGGTCCCGAGGGAGCGGCTGGGCGGAGCCAAGCGGGGCAACGCAATTCTCTGCCCGGTCCCAGGACTGAGAAGATGGTGCTCGCAGTTGGCGTTTCATCACTGGCCTTGGGGCTTTATTCCAGATTTCCGCTACCTGCCTTCTCATCCGAGGTCTGCTGCTACAGGTGATGGTGCGGGCCGGGTGCGGTGCTGAGGGGCAGCTGTTCCCTGCTGCCTCCTCTCAAGAGAACCCTGGGAACGGCAGACGATCCTGCCTGCCGGGGCTCGAATCTCAGGGCGGCGGGGGGTTGTAGTCACCTCCGGAGGAGAACCCTGGGCGCATGAACCCAGGTCTCCCCTCGGACGGACTTTCACTTTCCCACCAGCACACACCCCCTCACGCAGAGGGTCTTTGGACACTCGCTCTTGCAGAGACTCTCTCAGTCCAGCCTGCTCCGTCACCATCTTGTCTGGCTGGAGATCACTTAGTTGTTGTGTGTTTTTCTTTTAACTTTTTTTATAAGCTTCTTCTAAAATATTTTGTTTCAAAGTAGTCGATGGACAAAATTCAAGAACCTAAGCCTGGTAAAAAACCTTCCACATATTCAGGTTAATACTTGAGCCTTGTGTCTCAGAAATCATGAGAAATTCTGTCCTGTGCATTTTAAATGTTCTGTTCAAACTGTATCTTCCTGAATAAACAGCTGTGCAGAAGAGTGTTTCAACCTCAGTAGTACATTAGAATCACCTGTAATATTTTTAAAATACTGTGTCTGAATCCAAACTGGATGGGAAGTGGAGCTAGGAATATATAGTGTTCAGAGTATCCCAGGCGACTGTAGTGTGTAGGCATGTTTGAGAGCCAGTGGTCTAGATATTCTTTATTTTTTAGTTCCACTTTCTTTTCTTTATCTTTTTATTTTTGAGTTGGAGTCTCACTCTGTCGCCCAGGCTGGAGTGCAGTGGCACGTTCATAGTCACCTGCTGGGCTCAGGCAATCCTTTCGCTTCAGCCTTCCAAGTAGCTAGAACCGAAGGTGCACACCACCATGCCTGGCTGATTTTTTGATGTATTGTAGAGACAAGGTCTCGCCAAGTTGCTCAGGCTGGTCTTGAACCCCTGGGCTCAGGCAATCTTCGCACCTCTGCCTCCCAAAGTGCTGGGGTTACCAACATGAGCCACTGTGCCCAGCTTATTTCCATTTTCTGTTTGAAATGCCCTAGGTAAAAGGAATAGGTAGTTTATAGTTGTTTTTTTCTTCTTAATATTAAAATAACTACCAGTGGATTGCCAAGACATTCTTTAGAAAGAGTGAATTTTTTAAGTTTAAAAACAAATGTTTTGCTTTTTATTAATAGAATATGGCTTGGGGATCTCCTTGGAAAAATCATTTAATATCTCTGGACCTGCTTTCTCTCCTATAAAATAAGGGAGTAAGACCAGGTGGTGACTTCCAATTACTTTCTAGACCTTGTCTTCTCTAATGGAAGTATGATTTGTTTTTCTAATTTAAAAATTTTCAGCTTGATTTCTGACATATGTGGCATTATGTTCTGTTTCTGCATTATCATATTATGTTCGTATTCAGCCTTTTAAAATTTTTATTTCAAAGTGGCTTGCTAGTATTTGGTATCTCTGGAATATCGATCTCAATACTGTGATAGGTAATAGGTATTAAATAAATACTTTAATCAAATTTCTGTGATTCTAGCTCTGTCTTTAAAAAAAATTCTATGATAAAATTTTTTCCACATAGTTTAAAATGAAAACTTTGTAATCAAAGTTTTATGTTGAGTTATTTTGGAGATGTGAACTTAGAACCTTTATAATTAAATTAGAACACATGTCAAAATATACATTTGCTTAGTAGCTTACATATATTATTCGATTCTATTCTCTTAAAGTAGGTGTATGCATGTTAACACAGTTCCCCACAGAAATTGCTTGACCATATATATGTTGTCATTACTGTTCTCATTTTATTTGATATTTGCTAGACTTGGTAGAACTTCTTCACTAAATGAAATGTGATCTGGGCTGGGCACAGTGGCTCAAACCTGTAATCCCAGCACTTTGGGAGGCCTAGGCAAGAGGATTGCCTGAGCCCAGGGGTTAGAGACCCGCCTGAGCAACCTGGTGAGACCTGTCTCTACAATATATCAAAAAATTAGCTGGGTGTGGTGTCGCACACCTATTGTTCCCGCTACTTGGAAGGCTAAGGCGGAAGGATTGCCTAAGCCCAGCAGGTCGACATTGGGGTGTCTGTGAGCATGCCACTACACTCCAGCTTAGGCAACAGAGTGACACTGACTCAAAAAAAAAAAAAAAAAAAGCAATGTGATCTGACACTTAGAAGTAAAAACATATATGTTTGCTTTTTAATTCCAAAGGCCAGGAACTCATAATAAACAGATATATACAATCTGAGTTGGCTATGTTCTTGGAAACTCAATTATGTAAGATGAGAATGAGAAGTACAAAGCTGAGTTATAGCATCTATAATCTATATGACTTTTTTGAGATATATGAGAAGGGACCCAAAAAACCCTGGAATTATCTTGTGGCGGATGGGCTCCTTACAATACAGGCTTCCCCTGCTAGGTAAGTGTTCTAGGAACCCATTGGCATCAGTGTTCCGGCCAGCATTGTTTTGAGAGGCTGCATTTACCTCATTGAATTTTTTTTCCTTTTGAGATTTTTTTCAAGACCTTTGCCCGTTTCATGATAGATGGTTTTATGAGGGCACCTGCCCATACGGCGCTGAGTGTTCAGTAGTTTTTAGCCAAAAATGGCATGACCCCTGCCCCAACCTCCCTAATTCACCTGATCTTGCCCAAGAGATTATTTTTTTGATTCCCCAATGAAAAAAGTTTTCAAAGGGAAACATTTTGCTGATGTGAAGGAGGTGAAACAAAATATGGCAGGAGTCTAAAAGACATCAAAATTGACAAGTTCAAAAACTATTCTTAGCAGGGGAAAAAGTATCTCAACAGGTGTATTGCATCAAATGGAGAGTACTTTGAAGGTGACTGAAGTTTATTTTATTTATTTATTTATTTATTTATTTATTTTAAAGGTGACTGAAGTTTAAACATGTAGTAATAAGTACATAATTTTTTATAAAGAAATTCTGGGCTTTTCGGGGTCCCCTCTCATATATTAGGTGGCTTTACTTTTTTTTAATTAAAATGCTTCAATGCCTTTTGCTAATGTCTTCAGATTTTGAGGTGACTAATTTGTATAATAATTTTGAGCTTTAGTTTTATATGTCAGAAAACGAAGGTAAGGCTCTTGAATTTTTTTAGCAGAACACCAGCGTGATATGTCATATTTTTATTATACTTAAGAATTTATATTGTAGGATAATGTAGTTTAGGTGCATGTTTGAATAATTTAGATTATAGATTTGCATGTATTGTACGATCATATTAATGAAGTCTTTTTTTGTTGTTTTTTTCAAAGCTGAAACCATCATTTTTCCCTTAAATGTGAAAGCTATCCAAATATATGTCCTCAGTCTTTTTAGTCTGTCTCCTCCTGATCCCCAGCACTTAAATAATACTTAGTTGAGTGACATTAAAATGATTCATGTCATTTTAAATACTTGAATTCTTTAAATTAAAGCACGTCATTGAGTGGCATTTAGCAATTTTAACAGTGTCCAGTATCAAACATTTTAGGAGAGGAAAGAACAGTAACACATCCAATGGAAACTGATGGCATTTCAGGAGGCAGAAGGTAATTATTCACATTAGAGTGTTTTAAGTTTGAGTAATATTTGGTCTTGGCCAGCCTTGGTACCCTGGAGCTGAAGCATGTAACACTCAGATGGTTCATGAAAGCTGGCTTGGAGAAATGCGTCAAGGCCATAACTCCCTGTTGGGTGCTTTACCACACTGACCTTGGGTTCTGATTGGTAAGCAATCGATTGTAGGATACAGAAAGAGGAACTATTAGCACCCTGACAGAGGCATCTCTTTTTATATCTACTACTGCCAGTGTTAGCTGCACTGTATGTCTTTTTTGTTGTTATTAATCCTTTGCTTTTTATTTTTAAAAATTATTTTGTATTTTGTTTTAAAGATGTGGGGTATGATTCAGAATTAGGTATACATGTGGACACTGTACAAGTAATGTTTGGCCTCCCTTTGGTGTCCCCACTTTGCCTGGTTTGAGATCAGGTACCCTTATTGATGTGGTCCCCCATACCCACCCCAGCAGTGTCCTGCTACTGCCAATTCCTTTCTTATAGTATTATGATAAGTGGTCAGGGACCGCTTATGCATGATGCACAGTGTTTCTAATGGTAAAGGAGGTACAGTATTTGTTATTTATAGGTGAGGCTGCCACATAGTTTAGATGCAATTAGACAGATCTTTATGATAGTACTTAGCAAGAGAGCAGACCTTACCACAGAACAGAAATCAAATAGCTTCACGTTTCGTAAAAGACTGTATTCCCGCAGATACATGACATCCACTTCTCTTTCTAATAAATTTTTAATTATTTTAGTTAAGCCTCTTATGGCTATATTTATGGCTTCTTGATGAAGAAGTAGTGTAATTGGTGCTGCTTATTTGAAACCTTGTTGTAACTTGTTCCTTTTTAAACTGTCACTTATTTTTTTTTAAACTTTGAATTAACACTGTTCTTTTTTGCCTGAACATAATCTAAGTTGAATCTGTGAAGGGATATTTATTCCATTATGGGAAAATAAGATATCTTGAAAGCCAAGTATTCCTGTGAAAAAACCGGTAGCTATAAGGATTTCTTGATATGAGGGGTTGGTATTAAAGGAATTCCCTTGAAATCACCACTTTTTTTTCCAATATGGAGAATTGTAACTTGGTAATTTTTTTAAGCTAATAAATATTGAAATGTTTATTTACATACATTTGCAGAAATGTTTCCTAAATTTACCGGCGTAAAGCAGAGTGATTCTCCTTCTAAAGAGAATGTAAAGGTAAATTAACTCTTTATTTATACCTCAGATTTTAGATGAATATATGTTGTAATTCACTGGTTTATAATAGTATTTTTATTTTATTTACATGAAAAAAGTTGTCACTATTTTTAGCTTATCAACTAAATGTTCAGAGATTTCTTCCTAAAGAAGATTTAATAAGCCGGGCTCAGTGGCTCAGCCTGTAATCCCGCGCCTTTGGGAGGCTGAGGTGAGTGGATTGCCTGAGCCTGCGGGTTCGAGACCCACCTGGGCAGTGAGACCTCATCTCTACAATAAATCAAAAAATCAGCTGGGCATGGTAGCGCGCGCCTGTAGTTCCAGTTACTTGGAAGGCTGAGGCGGAAGGATCACTGGAGCCCAGCAGGTCGAGGCTGCGGTGGCCAGGAGCGGCCACTGCACTCCAGTCTGGGTGACAGAGTGAGACTCCAACTCAAAAAAAAAAAAAAAGATTTAATAGAGAAACTAGCTGGCTTCATTCTCTAGCAAAATACAATGGTTACTTAAGTCAAATACAAATTCTAGAAGCTTCAGTTTATGCTAAGAATCTGAATACAGAGGAATGGCCTTGTTACCCCAGTGTGTCCATAGTACCGTGTATACAGTAAGGCAAAATATCTCAAAAAACATAGTAGGAGAATGGCATTTAAGGATTCTACAGATAAAGCTTACAGTCGCCAGCTATCAACTCTCTTTTTTTTTTCCCCCAAGGTTTCACTCTGTTGCCCAGGCTGGAGTGCAGTGGCACAATCATAGCTTTCTGCAGCCTGGACCTCTTGGGCTCAGGCAGTCTTCCCACCTCTGCCTCTCAAGTAGCTGGGACTTCAGGCATGTGCCACCACACCTGGCTAATTTTTTGATTTATTGCAGAGACAAGGTCTCGACATGTTGCCAAAACTGGTCTTGAAATCCTAGACTCAGGCAATTCTCTTGCCTTTGCTTCCCCAAGTACTGGGATTACAGTCATGAGCTACTGTGCCTGGCTAGTATTTATAACTTGTTTACAAAATGAAGTGAGGCTATATATTACCAAAGGGAAGGACAGGTCACACAGGAAATAATGTTTAAAATGGGTTTTAAAAGATGGGAAGAAATCATTAGCATTGACATACAGATTAGGGATTTATTTTTTAAAACAAGTGATAGGGCTGGGCGCAGTGCAGTGATTCATGCCTATAATGCCAGTACTTTGGGAAGTCAAGGGGAAAGGATTGCTTGAGCCCAAGGGTTCGAGACCAGCCTGGGCAACTTGGCGAGACCGCATCTCTACAATAAATCAAAAAATTAGGTAGGTGTGGTGGCGTGCACCTGTAGTTCTAGCTATCTGGAAGGCTAAGGTGAAAGGATCGCCTGAACCCAGCAGGTTGAGGCTGCAGTAGCCGTGAGCATGCCACTGTCCTCCAGCCTGGTCAACAGAGTGAGATTCCAACTCAAAAAAATAAAAGAAACAATAAAACAAGTAATAGAATGAAGAGAGGGAAATAAAAAGCACAACAAGTGTATTCAGAGAACTGTGGAAGCAGAAGGTAATTGTAAGGGATTAGATGGCTTGGCATATACAATAGAGAGGGCTTTGAACCCGAAGCAAGGAGTTAATATTAATTTGGTAGGCAGGACTGAGCTCTCAAAGGGCTCTTCTCCCTGTTCCTTTTGAACAGGAAGAACATACGGATGCTCTGTCTTGCTAAAGGTATTAGCAGAATAAAAAAATTATCTCAAATTATGGAAGAACTCTGGAAGCATTCTCAATACACAGGATGCAGAATGCCACCTTCATGGTCTGTTTGTAACCAAAGTTTTTTCAGTTTCACTCACTGAGGAACAAAATGCCCATTTTGATAAAAGAAGGTCTATATTAATCAACAAGTTCCTGAATGAATGTATATATTTCTGTAGTTTGTTTTTTTTTTTTCCCTGTCATAACCTGAGCATTTGACTTTAAGCTTTGGGATTGGGTCTACATTGCTGTTGAGGTAGACATTCCTATCGCATTTGTTTTATTCAGACTTGCATTAGGTGTTATTCATATACTTGTCTATCTCACTCACCCCCCAAGACCCCTTGTTAGACGGAGAAAGAAGGCTGTCTTTTTTTTTTTTTGAGTAGGAGTCTCACTCTGTTCACCCAGACTGGAGTACAATGGAATGATCATGGTTCACCACAACCTTAACCTCCTGAGCTCAGACAATCCTTCTGCCTTAGCCTCCCAAGTATTTGGGACTACAGGTGTGCACCTCCATGCCTGGCGAATCATTTGATTTTTTTGTAAAGATGAGGTCTTACTATGTTGCCAAAGCTAGTCTCAAACTCTTGGGCTCAACCATTCCTCCTGCCTTGGCCTCCCAAAGTGCTTGGATTATAGTTGTAAGCCACTGTGCCCAGCCATGAGTGATTCTTTAAAAGGCTAAATCTCACTGGGTGATGTAATCCCAGCACTTTGGGGGGCAGAGGTGAGAGGATTGCCTGAGCCCAGGGTTTCGAGACCAGCCTGGGCAACTTGGCGAGACCTGATCTCGACGATAAATCAGAAAATAAGCCTGGCATGGTGGCATGTACCTGTGGGTCCAGCTACTTGGAAGGCTGAGGTGGAAGGATCACTTGAGCCCAGCAGGTAGAGGCTATGGTGGCTGTCTCTAGATTTGGTATAAAAATCTGGGTTGTTTTGCTTTGTTTTGTTTTTTTCCTGAGTCAGAGTCTCACTCTGTCACCCAGGCTGGAGTGCAGTGGCACACGGCCACTGCTGCCTCCAACTGCTGGGCTCAGGTGATCCTTCTGCCTCAACCTTCCAAGAAGTTGGAACTACAGGCGCATGCTACCATGCCCGGCTAGTGTTTCTTGATTCATTGTAGAGATGAGGTCTCGCCAAGTTGTCCAGGCTGTTCTCAAACCCGGGGGCTCAGGTAAATCCTCTTTCCTCCATCTCCCCTGAAAGTTCAGTGTTTATTTTTGGTGATCACAGGAAAACTTTTAAAAATTAATAGCACTGTTTAATGACATACATGTAAATCTATGTGTAAGTGTAACTAAAATCACTGGCTTTGACTAACTCAGCCTCTTATAAGCCATTTGATGTCCAAACTGCTCTTTTAAAATCTGTTTTCACATCTATAAGATAGAGCTAATTATACCTTAGAGGTTTGAATAAATATGGTATTCAAAAGGTAACAGTAAATTACGTTCTTGCCTCTTTTGTTTCTGTTCTCTTTGTTACACTTCCTGTGTGGTTAAAACTATGAATCACTTTATTTGACTTTGTCTCAGCAGATACAGCATTCTGTGCAAGATACGGCCTCTGCTAAGACTCCCCCTGTTCATCAGACCACACGTTCGTGTGTAATACCACCTAATCGTCACCAGCTAGCATTCAGTTACCAAGAAATACAACATTTACAGACTGTGAAAAACACTTCACCTTTACAAATTCTGCCTCCCTCAGGTAAGAAATGAACAAATAAACAACTGTGATTGAGATACTGTTTTGACTTCTAAACCGATACTATATGAAAATGCTACAGTCATCTTAAATATCTGGGAAATACTGAAAATCATAACTTGTAAATTCCAGATTAGAAATAATTAATGATGCACAGTGTTAGAAATTATTTGCTTTATACGCCTAGGCACTCAAATGACATTTGAAAGATAGAAAATTATACTCACATATGCAGTTCACACCCAATTTACTTACTTTCTTTTTATTTTATGTTGTTTTTTTGTTTGAAATAGAGACAAGATCTCACAGCATTGCCTAGGCTCGTCTTGAGTTTCTAGGCTCAAGCAATTTTCCCAGCTTGGCCTCCCAAACTGCTAGGATTACAGACGTGAGCCACCACACCCGGCTCCAATTTACTTTCATATAAATACAAACATCAGGAAATGCTGCTTTCAATTCCATGACAGCGACGTGGGGTTAGAAAGGTAGGATGGAATAAGGAAGAGATTCAGAAATTCTATAGGTAAAGGAATGAACTTTATCTGTATAAAAGTTGACAGTTAAGGAAATCTGGGCTACGAATACTTGCCTAGTGGTGGTTCCTATTTACCAAAAACATCTCCTAAAACTGGCTAAATTTTTTATTTTTAGATCTGTCTGTTCTTGTCAGAAGTGAAGGGATTACCTGTATCAAATTGGTCCTCCTGGGGCTGGAAGGACATGTGTGGCACAAAGGACACTTCTATGGTATTAAGGAGCTCAGCCTAGAGAGTGCCTTGACCTTGAGACATGGCTATTTAGGTCTAGATCAGAGGCAGGTGTGAATATGCCTTGTCCCCTAGGCTGATTCCTTGGCCTCCCAAGGGCAGAGGTATCTCCCAAGCAGAATAAATGTCTTTCTTTTTTCCTAATTTAAAAAATTGTTCTGTACACACACACACACACACATATATTTTTTTGGAGTTGGAGTTTCACTCCGTCGCCCAGACTAGAGCGCAGTGGCCGCTCCCGGCCACCACAGCCTCAACCTGCTGGGGCTCTGGCGATCCTTCCGCCTCAGCCTTCCAAGTAGCCAGAACTACAGGCACACGCTACCATGCCCGGCTGATTTTTGATTCATTGTAGAGATGAGGTCTCGCCAAGTTGCCCAGGCGGGTCTCGAACCCGCGGGCTCAGATAATCCACTCACCTCAGCCTCCCAAAGGCGCAGGATTACAGGCTGAGCCACCGAGCCCGGCTTCATATATATATTTTGTTGCTGTTGTTGTTGAGTTAGTCTCACTGTGTCGTCTAGGCTGGAGTTTAGTGGCATACTCATGGCTACCGCAGCCTTAGCCTGCTGGGCTCAGGTGATCCTTCCACCTCAGCCTTCCAAGTAGCTGTAACTACAGGCACATGCCACCATACCCAGCTAATTTTTTAAATGTATTGTAGAAAGGAGGTCTTACCAAGTTGCCCAGACTGGTCACAAACTCCTGGGCTCAGGCAATCCTGTAATCTCTGCCTCCCAAAGTGCTGAGATTACAGGCGTGAGCCACCATGCCTGGCCCAGAGAGAAGTTTTGATCCTCTGTTGTTGCCAGTAGCTCCCTACTATTCTGTGTTTGAATATTGCATTTTGTCATTAACTAAAGTTTTAGCTCTTCATTGTGGGGAAGAGAATGGAGAACAAGAGAAAAATACCTAAGGTTACACTGGAGGGCATTCCAGGAAGAAGAATAAACATTCAAAGTGCGAAATATTTATATCCATTTTCTCTGGAGGTATATTTTCAGGATACTTGGAGAGTAACTGAAGATATGGGAGCTATAGGTTATGATTAATTGCCTCAAATACCACCTCTATATTTGGGCATTTTGTGTACAACAAAAAAGAGCTTCATATAGGAAGCATAATCAGATTTCGTTAGGAAGTCATTGTCTCTTACTATGTGGAAGATGGATCGAGATGAGAATAATCTGACGTCATTAGGACCAAGTAAGGAAGCTGAGTGCTATAGTTGAGGAAATAAGTTATTATGACTAAAATTAATGCAGCGAATATAGAAAGGATGTGAATATATTAGATGTTCTATGGCAGATGATAGATTTTGTGAGAATGAATGACTTACCAGGAGATCAGAAAATAGTTGGACTGAAAATAGGGTAGGAGGTGGGCTGGATATGTTGGCTCACACCTGTAATCGCAGCACTTTGGAGAATGAAGGCAGAGGATTGCTTGAGGCTAGGAGTTCTTGACCAACCTGGGCAACATACTGAGACCTCTTATCCACAAAAAAATCAAACTTTAGCCAGGCACAGTGGCATGCACCTATAGTTCCAGCTACACCGGAGGCGGAGGCAGAAGGATCACCTGAGTCCAGGAGATCGAGGCTGGAGTGAGCCGTGAGTTTGTCACTGCACTCCAGCCTGGGTGACACAGTGAGATCCTGACATGAAAACAACAAAAAAAGAAAAGAATATAGACAGTTGATTTTGGAAATGTTTGAGATGCTACAGAATATCTCATTGGAAGCATAAAATTAGAAATAGTTTTCTGGGTATACAGGAATTATAACTGAGAAATCATCAGTATGTAGAAGCTATTTGAAACCATGCAAATGCATGAAAACACCCAGGTATACGTGCAGAGCAGGAAGAGAAAAGTTTAAGGACAAAAGTCTAAGAAACAAAATCCCATCGGGAAAAATGGAAAAAAAATAAGTTAAAAGAAAAGGTAATCAGAGATAGGAAAGGAAGGAAAAATGGTGAAACAGAGCCCAGGAATATAGATTTTTTACAAGGAAATCATCAAGAGGATCACATACTGCACAGTATCTAATTAGGATGAGAAATGAAGAGAGGAGATTAACTTGGCAATGTGAGAATTTTAACTTTTGCAGATTTTTGGTAGTTATTGTGATTGGGGCAGAAGCCAGAATTTTGTAAGCTGAGAAGTAATGGAACTGAATGTAGTTAATATAAATTATTCTTTCAACAAGTTTGTTGGTAAGGAGGATGGGAAGATAGTTTTGGCTTTAATAGGAAGATAGATTTTTTGGAGTGCAAGAGGCTGTTTTGTTTTTTGAATTTTTGAGTCAGAGAGGTTGGAAGCAGAGTAGGAAAAAGCTTCTGTTTCCAGTAGGATATGCTTGTAAAAGGATGGTAGGGATAACCTTTCTCTTGAAAATTTCACAAATTCAGTGAAAAGCAATGGTAAGAATGCTGTCGAGATGTCTCTTGTTTCCATCTAGAAAGACACCCTATCTGTGAAAAGTCAGGCTTGTAGTACTCACATCTTCAGTAAGGATCAGTTTATTGTATCAGTTTATTTATTCTGATTGCACTTATGTGATGCCCATGAGGAATGCAATGTGTAGAGGGAACACTTGGATGATGCTGGAGAGGCTGTTCTGCATTTAGCAAGTTTTTCAGAACCAAAGTGGTTTACATTTGCCAACTGTAGGTGGCGATATGCCCAAGGGAAATTGCAGATGCACGTAAGCTAGAAAATGTATGTAGACATTTTCTTTTCTGGAGTTAAATCTCAGCGGAAATAAATGTTTTGCCAACTCTTACCTTAAATTTAAATGATTAAAGTAGTGGAAAAAAATTTTTTTTTTTTTTGAGTCGGGATCTCTCTGGCGCCCAGGTTGGAGTGCAGTGGCATGCTCAGAGCTCCACTATCTGGGCTTAGGTGATCCTTCTGTCTCAGACTCCCAAGTTGCTGGGACTACAGGTTCATGCCACCATGACTGCTAATTTTTTGGTTTTTGTAGAGAAAAGGTCTCACTATGTTTCCCAGGCTGGTCTCGAACTCCCAGGCTCAAGCAAGCCTCTTGCTTCAGTCTCCTAAAGTGCTGGGATTACAGATGTGAGCTACTGCACCCAGCTTAAAGTAGTAAGTTTTTATGTTACACTTTTCTTCTTATTTGAAAAATAGTTTGACAAACTATTAGAGTACATAAAAGATTTGAGAAATTGAATTTTTAAGTGTTACAGGTTGACATCAACGTCCCCCCAGTCATCTTCACAATAAATGGAAGGTGTTTAATTTTTTTCCTCATAAATTGAAGTTTTTAGCCACAAAAGATTACTAACCTTATAATGTACCTTTTCCCTGTCTTATTAAAATCTTCACTGAATTGTATTGAATTTTCTTTTCATTTTTTTGACTTAGAGTCTCACTCTGTTGCCCAGGCTGGAGTGCAGTGGCATGCTCATGGCCACTGCATCCCCGACCTGCTGGGCCCAGGTGATCCTTCTGCCTCACCCTTCCAAGTAGCCGGAACTTCAGCCACATACCACCATGCCCTGCTAGTTTTTTGTTTTTTTTTTTGAGTTGGAGTTTCACTCTGTCGCCCAGACTGGAGTGCAGTGGCCGCTCCCAGCCACCACAGCCTCCACCTGCTAGGCTCCGGCGATCCTTCCGCCTCAGCCTTCCAAGTAGCTGGAACTACAGGCACGCGCTACCACGCCCAGCTAATTTTTGATTTATTGTAGAGATGAGGTCTTGCCAAGTTGTCCAGGCGAGTCTCAAACCCGCAGGCTCAGGCAATCCTCTCACCTCAACCTTCCAAAGTGCTGGGATTATAGGTGTGAGCCACTGCGCTGGACCTGTATTGAATTTCCAACAACAAAAAAATTATGCTGTTATACCAATATGCATTCACAATGGCAAATAAAAAAGGCAAATCAATAAATTTTCCATCTCATAGGAGAAATAAATAACTGGTATATAAAATAATAATAAGCAGCCGGGCTCGGTGGCTCAGCCTGTAATCCTGCGCCTTTGGGATGCTGAGGTGAGTGGAATGCCTGAGCCCACGAATTTGAGACCCACCTGGGCAGGCGAGACCTCATCTCTACAATAAATCAAAAAATTAGCTGGGCGTGGTAGCGTGCGCCTGTAATTCCAGCTACTCGGAAGGCTGAGGCGGAAGGATCACTGTAGCCCAGCAGGTCAAGGCTACGGTGGCCGGGACCGGCCACTGCACTCCAATCTGGGTGACAGAGTGAGACTCCAACTCAAAAAAAAATGAAATAAAATAAAATAATAATAAGCCCAAAAGGAAGCAAAAATAAAATTTAAGGAGATGAGAAAAGCAGAATTATCTTTGGCAAATACTTTATTTTATTTTACAGAATAAGTATCATTTGAGCTAGATATTGGAGAAAAAATAAGACTTCTATACATGCCTAGGACGAAAGGACTTTTGAATAGAGGGAATAACATGAATATAAAGGCATTTAGAGCTAATAATTCAGCATGATTACAGATTTGGTTGGATAAACAAGAGTGTGGGGAAATAATTTAGAAATGTGGAAAAGGCTCAGGTCACTTAAACCTCGAAATCTAGATTCCTTGGACTTACTGGTATAGTTAGTGGGAAGCCAAGGAGGTCTTTTTGTGCTAAGGGTGTGCTTCAAGACCATCAGTCAGCCCATATTAAGAGGATGAGCTAAGGGAAAGGGGCACAGAGACAGAGAAGGAGGAAACCAACTGGGCTGCAGCAACAGTGGAGAAGATGAAGTGATGGACTGGAAAGAAGGAAAAGGGAAAAGCTGGACAATTGCAAGGGTATGACAAGTCCCCAACCAAGAGTATCCCAGAGTTAAGACACCTCAAAAATTAGTCACTTAGTTCTCATACTGTCTGAACTGGAAGGAAAAAAATCAAATTCTGGGTAAGAGGACATATCTTCATCACTCTATTCTAAACGTGTTCATGCAGGTGATTCTGAACAGCTCCCAAGTGGCCTGTCTGTGACGCATCCACCTGATGATAACGGCACATTGGCGTTACAGTCTGAATATCATGTTCCTGCACAGAAGGTAAAAGTCATGTTATTTTTTCTCACAAATTTTGAAGGGACTTAAAATTGGATCTGGAAGTGGTACAAGAGTTTTGTTTTTTAATTTCACCAAGGACCTTTCTTTCTAGAAGCAATAATGGTATTATAAGTTTGAAAATAGTTATGCTTTTATAATAAGATACATGAATTAAAGTTTTAAGGAGCTAAGCCTTTTTTGAAACCAGGATATTTTTTAATGACAGAAACTGCAAACACAAAAGAAGCTAAGTAAAAGCCTTATGTTCACTTTGAAATGGAAATATCTACTTGAAATGGAGAGTACTGACAATCGCACTCAAAGAGAAGGGAATGAGGAGGCCTGTAGCAGCCACTGATTCATAGCAGCCCTGACTTCCTGCCCAGCACACATGGCCAGTTCCTTAATTAGGCCCCAGTTCTACTGCCTAGAAATGATCTACCATCGTTTTTGGTTCTGTCATTTGTACTCTTTTTCTTCCATCTTTCTTTTATTAATAAGTCTTTTTTTTTCTTGAGGTGTAGTCTCACTCTGCTGCCCGGGTTGGAGTGCAGTAGCATGATCTCAGCCACCGCAGCTTCGACCTGCTGGGTTCAGGCGATCTTTCTGCCTCAGCCTCCCAAGTAGCTGGGACTCCGGGCATCCGCTACCATACTCAGCTAATTTTTATTTATTTATTGTGGAGATAAGGTCTCGCCATGTTGCCCCTGGGTTTGGGCAGTCCTCTGGCCTCAACCTCCCAAAGTGCTGGGATTACAGGTGTGAGTTACCGTGCCCAAGCGATCTTTTGTTTTTGAACAAATTTTGTCTTTTTTCAGTTCAGTTTGGTATTATTTTTAAAAAAATATTGGTAGCCGGGCTCAGTGGCTCAGCCTGTAATCCTGCGCCTTTGGGAGGCTGAGGTGAGTGGATTGCCTGAGCCTGCGGGTTCGAGACCCACCTGGGCAACTTGGTGAGGCCTCATCTCTACAATAAATCGAAATGAGCCGGGCATGGTAGCGCGTGTCTATAGTTCCAGCTACTTGGACGGCTGAGGCGGAAGGATCACCGGAGCCCAGCAGGTCGAGGCTGTGGTGGCTGGGAGCGGCCACTGCACACCAGTCTGGGCGACAGAGTGAGACTCCAACTCAAAAAAAAAAAAAAAATTGGCAACTTCTTGTGTATCAAGTTATAATGCAATGCCCTAGACAAAATCAAGCAATTCAAACAAGCTCTTCTATACCTTGGGATTTCTGAAATCTATAGTGACATACCTATAAGATTCTTAGAAAGTTTATTAATTAAGAGAGCTGGTCTATAAGTTTTCACTCTTATGGTCCCTAGAAAGCTTTGTGTAGCTGAGACAGTCCATGAGATACCACCTTAAGTCTTACTGTACTCTGAACATGGAGTTTTATGTTCCACCCTTGATTTCTTTATGTTTAAACTATAGCTTAGCTATGTGAACATTATGTTCCATATGAACATTAGGATTTTTTTTTCCAATTCTGTGAAAAATGACATTGGTAATTTGATAGGAATTGCATTGCATCTGTAGATTGCTTTGGGAAGCATTATGGTCATTTTACGGTACTCTTCCAGTCCACGAGTATAGGATGTTTTCCCATTTGTTTACATCATCTATGATTTCTTTCATCAACGTCTTGTAGTTCTTCTTGTAGAGATCTTTCACTTCCTTGGCTAACTGTACTTTTTTGTGTTGGCTGTTGTAAATGAGATTGCATTCTTGATTTGGTTCTCAACTTGAACATTGTTGGTGTAAAGAAATAATCCTGATTTTGGGCCAGGAGCAGTGGCTCACACCTACACTCCCAGCACTTTGGGATTCTCCTTCCTCACCACGGAGGGCCAAGTTAACTCCTAGACAGGGCCATTAGACCTGTGCTGCCCAGATGGCAGCCTCTGTCACATTTGGATGCTGCACACTAGGTATGGCTGTAGAGGAGCTGGGGAACTCAACGTTAACACGTGTTTTTAATTAACTTAAATTTTAAAACAGACACAAATTAGTTTTGGAAGACTTAAGTGTGTTTGTCTTTAGAACAGCCTGGGTTATATATAACTTTTTCATTGTTTTTTTTCTTGAGTCAGAGTCTCACTGTTGCCCAGGCTGGAGTGCAGTGGCACACACTCGACCTGCTGGGCTCAAGTGATCCTTCCACCTCAGCCTTTCAAGTAGCTGGAACCACAGGTGTGCACCACCACACCAGGCTAATTTTTTTTTTTTAATTGTAGAGACAAGGTCTCACCAAGTTTCCCAGGCTGGTCTCAAACCCCTGGGCTCCACCTCCCAAAGTGTTGGGATTACAGGCATGAGCCACTGTTCCCAGCCTCTTTCTTTCTTTCTTTCTTCTTTTTTTTGGGGGGGGTTCAGAGTCTCACTGTGTCGCCCAAATTGGAGTGCAGCGGCATGAACCTGGCTCACTGCAGCCTTGACCTCCTGGGCTCAGGCAATCCTTCTGCCTTAGTCTTCCAGGTAACTGGGACGACAGGCACACACCACCACGCCTGGCTAAGTTTTTGATTTTTGTTAAGACAAGGTCTTGCTATATTGCCCAGCCTGATCTAGAGCTACTGGGTTCAAGTGATTCTCCTGCCTTGTCCTCCCAAAGTTCTGGAATGACAGGCATGAGACACTGCACCTGAGCCATAACTACTTTTCCAACTGTAAATTTTATGAAATCTAATTACAGATGAATTATTTCTAATTAGAATTTAGCATTTGAATTGAAGTGTGCTACAAACATGAATATCAATTTGGATGACTTAGTATGAAAAAAATATAAAATGTTTTAAGTCTTTTATATTGATTGCATGTTGAAATGATGATAATGCTTTGGATATATTTGGTTAAATAAAACGTATCAATATTAAATTCACTTAAAGCTTTTTAAAAATGTGGTTACTAGAAAATTTAAAATTACATATATTTCTATTAGGTAGTACATCTTAACCATGGTATACCATATTTAAGAACAGCAGTGGCCAGGCGTGGTTGCTCAAGCCTGTAATCCCAGCACTTTGGGAGGTCAAGGGGAGGGTATTGCCTGAGACCACGGGTTCAAGAACAGCCTGGGCAACTTGGTGAAACCTCATATCTGCAATAAATCAAAAAATTAGCCGTGTGTGGTGGTGTGCACCTGTAGTTCTGGCTACTTGGAAGACTGAAGCAGAAGGATCGCTGGAGCCCAGTGGGGTTGACACTGGGGCAGCCATGAGCGTTCCACTGTACTCCAGCCTGGGCAACAGAATGAGACTCCAACTCACAAAAAAAAAAAAAAAAAGAACAGTAACATTTACTTTTCTTCTTCTTTCTTTATTTCCATAAAAAGGAAAGGCATGGCTGTGTCAAAGGGTTTGGAACAAACTCCATGCCATTCTTAGGGCATAATATTTTATTTGCCTCTTAATAATAATTTGTATATTTGCTTGATTTTCCCTATAGGTTCATAAATACCTTTTTCTTTTTTTTTCTTTTTTTTTGAGTTGGAGTCTCACTCTGTCACCCAGACTAGAGTGCTGTGGCCGCTCCCGATCGCTGTAGCCTCGACCTGCTGGGCTCCGGCGATTCTTTCGCCTCAGCCTTCCAAGTAGCTGGAACTACAGGCGCGTGCTACCACGCCCGGCTAGGTTCATAAGTATCTTAATTACATTGAGTGACTTATTTATTTTTATATTCCCTGCCAGTTATCATGGAGTTAATATATATATATCTTAAATTAAATAAAATAATTAAATTCATTTAGATTAAATTGTATAATTGACAAGCATGCTACTTTAATTTGGTCTTAGATGAATAATTTAATTTAGATGATCAGTTATGTTTTCATATTTTTTTCTACAGGTACCTTTAACTTAAGTTTAGTAAAAGTACATGAAGGCTTTTAGAATCTTGATTTTATCTATTACTGTATTAAAAAAGTGTTTTCTTCCTTTCCTGACCTGGTTGACATCTATAGACATAGACTGAATCAAATATTTGTTTTAGGATATAAAGATTAAGAATGCAGACTCTTGGAAAAGTTTAGGCAAGCCAGTGAAAGCATCAGGTGTGCCAAAATCCTCAGATGAGCTCTTCAACCAATTTAGAAAAGCAGCCATAGAAAAGGAAGTAAAAGCTCGGACACAGGAACTTATACGGAAGCATCTGGAACAAAATACAAAGGAACCAAAAGCATCTCAAGAAAACCAGAGGTATGTAATTTACTGGATTAAAGGAGACTTGGGGAGGCATAGAAATGTATTTTGAATATATTAAATTTCTTATTTGACTGCGATTCAGCAGTTTAGTAGAACACACAGCAAATTGTAATTGCAAAAAGTACCTTTTTAAAGTATATCTATTTTGAAGAAGACAGAAATAATCAAGTGATTAAGCTAGTAAAGATACTAATACTGCCGGGCTCGGTGGCTCAGCCTGTAGTCCCAGCACTTTGGGAGGCCGAGGCAAGTGGATTGCCTGAGCCCACAAGTTCAAGACTAGCCTGGGCAACTTGGTGAGAACTCGTCTCTACAATAAACCAAAAATTAGCCAGGTGTGGTAGCACATATCTGTAGTTCCTGCTACTTGGAAGGCTGAGGGAGAAGCATCACCTAAGCCCAGCAGGTTGAAGCTGCGGTAGCTGTGAGCATGCCACTACACTCCAGCCTGGGCAACAAGAGTGAGACTCCAACTCCCCCCCCAAAAAGATACTAATATTACTAAATTATAAAGACATTATTTTACAGAAATTTTTTCCACTCTATATGTAAGAAGGTAGAGGTTTCCCTTGGTCACGGTTCTTTAAAACCATTTCTTTGTTGATATAGATTGCCCTATGTAAAATTTGACGCATCAAAAATAAAGCTTCAAAATAATATTATAGCATGTGACAATGGGTATCTAGTACATTCCTCATATTTGTTATTTAATAATGTACCTTTGAAATAAAAACATTTAAGGACCTTGAAGCCTCTATTTTTTTAAGGGACCTTGGAAATGGATTGACTATGGAATCTTTTTCAAGTAACATGCAAAACAAGTGCTGTAGCGAAGAGGAGAAAGGCCATCAACAGTCATTGGAAGCTCCAGATACATCCAAGCTCTGGCTGCCCAAAGACCGTAATTTAGCAAGGGAGAAAGAGCAGGAGCGGAGGAGGAGAGAGGCAGTAAGTGAACCTGAGTTGACTGAGTCTAACTAAAAGAGGAAAAATGAAGGCGGTGCGCGGTGGCTCACGCCTGTAATCCCAGCACTTTGGGAAGCCGAGGTGAGAGGATTGCCTGAGCCCATGGGTTCGAGACCAGCCTGGGCAACGTGGTGAGACCTCGTCTATACAATAAATAAAAAAAATTAGCCGGGCATGGTGGCGCGTGCCTGTAGTTCCAGCTACTTGGAAGGCTGAGGCAGAAGGATTGCCTGAGCCCAGCAGGTTGAGGCTGTGGTGGCCGGGAGCGTGCCACTGCACTCCAACCTGGGGGGGATGGAGTGAGACTCTGATTCAAAAAAAAGGAAAAAAAAAAAAAAGAGGAAATATGTAACAGAGCACTATCCCTTAAGTGTTCAAAGATGCATTTGGGGTAATTTTTCAGTGACGATGGAGTTACCTTTTTAGTGAATATTAAGTTCTAAAAAACCTTAAGATGCAAATTTATAGTCCAAAAAGGCAGGCATAATGCAGTAACAGAGTATCAATCCTTGTCTAAGCCAATGAGTTCGAGACCAGCCGGGTAACTTGGCGAGACCTTATCTCTACAATAAATTAAAAAAAAAAAATTAGCCAGCCATGGTGGTGCATGCCTGTAATTCCAACTACTTGGAAGACTGAGGTGGAAGGATCGCCTGAACCCAGCAGGTCGAGGCTCTGCCAGGGCCTTGAGCACACCACTGTACTCCAGCCTGGGCAACAGAATGAGACTCTTGACTCAAAAAAAAAAAAAAAAAAGTGTGAATCCTGCTACTACACTACATGAGTTAAAAATGATGGTTCTGCCATTTGTAGACTTTTGGATTATGGCAATTTATTTAAGCTCTCTCTGATTAATTTCCTCATCTGTAAAGAAAGAATAATGCCTATTGTGAAAGTGTAGTGAATTAACATGTATTAAGCACATACAAAAATGTCTGGCACAAAGGTGAAGTGACTTCTCACTTACTGCTATTGTGCTTGAAAAATCCATAAACCACCTATAAATTGTGGCCAAAAGATAAGCCATCTTTTTCCGTCAGCATTCTTCAGTTCACAGCTAGATTAAGAAGTTGACTTTCATTTAGGAGTCCTAATATACAGAAAATGAAATTTAAAAACTAGAACTGATTTCTTCTTTTATCCATGGATTAGAAGTGTTTAATTTAGTTTCCAAATATTTGAGAATTTTCTGATTCTAGCAGTTTATGCTAGTGATTTCTAATTTAATTCCATTGTCATCAGAGAACATGCAATGTCTGACTTGAATTTTTTGAGTTCTGACTTATTGGTGGCTTACTTTATGGCCTGTTGCCAGGTGGGGTGTGGCACAATGCACCACTACTAGAGGAACTTGAATCACTACTGAAGGGAACATCTGAGCGGCCAGTATAGTTTCAAAACAGAATTTATTAAAGAGAGAAACTTGCCAGGGAGGCATGGGCATCTTGGAGAAAGACCATTACTTTGCTTTTTATAAAAACTTCACATACTTTCTTTTTTTTTTTTGAGTTGGAGTCTCACTCTGTCACCCAGACTGGAGTGCAGTGGCCACTCCCGGCCACCACAGCCTCGACCTGCTGGACTCCGGCGATCTTTCTGCCTCAGTCTTCCAAGTAGCTGGAACAACAGGTGCACACTACCAAGACCGGCTAATTTTCTTTTTTGATTTATTGTAGAGATGAGGTCTCACCAAGTCGCCCAGGCGGGTCTCGAACCCGTGGGCTCGGGCAATCTACTCACCTCAGCCTCCCAAAGGTGCGGGATTACAGGCCAAGCCACCGAGCCCAGCTAAAACTTCACATACTTTCACAGTGATTATTATGGTAAAGCATCTGCTCCCAAGAGATTACCATCTCTGCACCTCTTATGAACTAAGAAGCAGGCTTTCCCAGAACACACACTTTGCCTTTGGCAGGAAACTTGGTAGGCTTTTAGTCATTATTAAACCATGAATTGTAAGGTGAGCTAATTACCATTTCCACACTTTGATAAGCTAAGGGGTGGGCTCGAATCTTTGCCTTCAACAAGAAACTTGATAGACTTCTAGTGATTATGATGTTAAACCATGAACTGAAAGGTTGGGCTGCACCATTTCTACACCTTGATGGACTTTTCTCTGATGAACTGGGGAGGTGGAGTGACCTGACAAGTCCACATACCAGCCCCAGGGTGATCAGGCCTGCAGAAAAGATATCTTAAACTTAAAAATGCCTCCAGGAAATTTATCTGTCTCTATCTAACATAAGTTAAATAACCTGCCTCAGTCTACCTTTGTAAATATTTTGTAAGTGCTTAAAAAAATGTGTATTCTGCTGTTGATGGAAAGCGTTTAATCAGACCAAGTTGCTTGATAGTGTAGTCCGAGTCGATTATAGCCTCACTGATTTTCTGCCCACTTTTTCCATCAGTTATTGAGAAAGGAACATTGAACTCGTGACTATATTATTATAGGTGTATCTTTTTTATCCTTGTAATTCTGCTGATTTTATTTTATATCTACAATAAATCAAAAAATTAGCCAGACGTGGTGGCACGTGCCTGTAGTTCTGGCTGCTTAGAAGGCTGAGGCGGAAGGATTGCCTGAGCCCAGCAGGTCGAGGCTGCAGTGGCCAGGAGCGTGCCACTACACTCCAGCCTGGGTGACAGAGTGAAGCTCCAACTCAAAAACAAAAAACAAAACAAAACAAAAAACCTTCCTTTTAGGCCAGGCTGGGTGGCTCAGCCTGTAATTCCAGCACTTTGGGAGGCTCAGGCGAGTGCATTGCCTAAATCCGGGGATTTGAGACCAGCCCAGGCAACTTGGCGAGACTTCATCTCTATAACAAATCAAAAATTACCCAGGTGTGGTGGCACATGCCTGTAGTTCCAGCTACTTGTAAGACTGAGGCAGAAGGATCACTGGAGCCCAGCAGGTGGACGCTGGGGTGGCCGTGAGTGTGCCACTGCACTCCAGCCTGGACGACAGAGTGAGACTCCA